TTTGGTTGATGGAAGAGTGGGAGGAATGGGTACCAAGTGGAAGTGGAGGTGTAGACTTTCCTTGTCTCCAGGAGCTCTTCCTATGGGAGTGTCCGAAGCTGAGAGGAAGCTTGCCTTGTGATCTCCCTTGCTTGAAGAAGCTTAGCGTGCGAGGGTGTGGGGTTTTACATGATCAAAGGGCCACTACTGCTACTAGTGTTAAACTGGATTACAAATCTCTTGAAGAATTGAGAATAGGAGGAGGATTATTTGAAACTGAACAAACACTTGGCGGTGTGTTATTATTACTAGAGATAAAGCTCCTGTCCCAACTTGAGATTCGGGGTTTAAATGGCATACAGTGCTTGCCCAACATCAATCGTCTTCAAACTTTGAGACTATATAATTGTCCAACCCTGTCGTCCTTCCCTGAAGATGGGCTACCCACTACGTTGACATTACTTGTGATAGACTTTTGCAGGAGATTAGAATTACCTCATGAGATGTTGGCCAAATTAACATCGCTCGGGCATTTGACGATATCCCATAGCTGTGATTCAATGAGGTCCTTCCCGTTGGGCATTTTTCCCAAATTGACGTCGCTTTTCTTTTGGGATTGTAAGAATCTGGAATCCTTTTCCTTGATTGAAGAAGAAGGAGTTGATGAGAATCTCAGTCGACTCAGTATCGCAGACTGTCCAAATCTGGAGTGTTTTCCCCAGGGAGGATTGCCCACTCCCAACCTGACTGACTTGGAATTCATTAGTTGCAAGAAGTTGAAGTGAGCGCATTCACACCCTCACAGCCCTTCGGAAATTGAAGATGGATGGTCTTCCAAATCTGGAGTCAATTGCAGAAGGTGGGGGTTTGCCTCCCAACCTCCTATATTTTAGCATTCAGAATTGTGAGAGACTGAGGGCTTCATCAGTGCAAGGACTTGTCTCCCTTGAAAAATTTGAAATTGGTGGCAGGGGAAGTGACGAGATCTTGGAGAAGTTGCTCAAGCAACAGCTGCTCCCTACCACTCTTCAACGCCTCGAGATCAGTCAACTTTCAAGTCTGAAATCTTTGGACGCCAAGGGACTTAAACACCTCACTTCTCTTTATTTTCTGAGCATCTCTAATTGTTCTGCCCTGGAAAAAAGGTATAAGAAGAAGACGGGAAAAGCTTGGGCCGAGATATCTCACATTCCATGCATCAAGATAGGCAAAGAAATGATCATATGATATGAGCTCTCTCTCTCTCTCTCTGACACACATTCCTTGCATCCGATGTTTCACTCTCAACTCTCAAATCAAACTCAGGTATGTACTTCAAATAACTGGCTTAACTGGTTTTCTTCCAATTGAATCCAAATATGCGTGTTGGATTTCCCAAATTCATGTCCCCAAATAAACCGAGATGCATATTTGTTACTATTTTTATGCCCCCAAGTTCATTGTATTATCTTATTTACATATCAGAGATTTTTGTCAATTACATTTGGCACTGCTGTTTACTGGTCTCTTGTTATTTTCCGATTAAAATCATTTTCCAGAAAAAACAATTTGTGCTCAACAAAAACTTTCAATCTGATTTCTGTTATTATTTTTCAATCTGATTTCTTTTGCAGGACAGCATACCTTCTCGTAGAGAGCTTTTCATTTGCAAGGTTTCTTTGCATGCCATTTCCAGATGAGGGGTTTGCCATTGTATATAGCCTTACAATTGTTACAACGAGGAGAAACAGAGAGGCTCGCCTGGAATATCTCAATTTGACGCATTTCTGCATACAGGCATCGAATGTACAACATTTTTAGGTACTTTCTCATAAGCTTAAGTTGAGTCTCATTCGAGCTAGTTTAAATTGTATTTGATGCCTAAAGATAACCTGTGAGCTTAAGTTGTTTGATCAAGTTATCTATATCCTTTTCTCTGTTTTTAGATTTCATTCATGTTGTGATTGGAGTGCTGCTGTTTTTTAAATTCATTCATGTAATGTTAGGATGTTTAATCTCTGGTTTGCACTTTCTCATCTTCTTCATTCTGTTAGGATGTTTAGTCTGATCACAAAAATTGGTTCACAAATGGAAAGTCACGATTAGATCTATTAGCAGAAGATCTGGAGGGGTACGTTCTAATATTTCTTTTCCTTCCATTCTTTTGCCTCCCTCACCATCATAATTTTTTAATGAGAGAGAGGTTGGGTGGGGAAGGGGGAGGCAACAAGAGAAATTTGGAATCTCTCACAATTAAACGTGCAGATTAATTGCTAAATAGTCAACGTATTTCTGGTGCCAAATTTATTTTATTCCAACATCTAGGAATTGGATATGTTTTGCTCTTATAGTTCTGAAAACTTTACAATTGGTGGCACGGGAAGTGACAATATCTTGGAGACGTTGCTCGAGCAACAGCTGCTCCCTACCACTCTTCACACTCAGCGCATCAACCAAATTACAAGTCCGAAATCTTTGGAGAGAAAGGGACACCTCACTTCTCTTCAACACCTACGAATGGAAAGCTGTCCTAGTCTCGAATTTCTGCAACTTCAACACCTCACTTCTCTTCAAAGGCTATATATTAGTTGGGGTGACAATCTCCAATTCATGCCAAAAGAGGGTTTGCAGCCATCTCTTTCTTTACTGCAGATCTACAAATGTTCTGGCCTGGAGAAAAGGTATGAGAATAAGATGGGAAAAGATTGGGCTAACATATCTCAAATTCCTTGCATCCAGAGAAATGATCCAAGTTTTTTTTTGTTTTGAAAACCCAGAACGCTACTTTGTCAACTTTGTTGGCTCAGCTTCCAACTGGGGCCCACCGCCATCTCTCTCTCTCTCTCACATCCCTTGTATCCAATGTTTCACTCTCAACTCTCAAATCAAACTCAGGTATGTTCTTCAAATAACTGGCTTAACTGGTTTTCTTCTAATTGAATCCAAAAACCGAAATACATATTCTTTCTCTGTTAAAAAACTGAAATACATATTTGATTGCCCAAATTCAGTGTCCAAATAAACCAAGTTACATATTTGTTACTATTTGTATGTCCCCAAGTTCATTGTATTATCTTATTACATATCAGAGAATAACCAAGTCTTTATGGAAAGGGGTCTGCCAGCAATTTTGCATCCCATGAACTTTTACAGTTGCCAAAAAAATCATAGCATTTATCTTTTATTACTAATTGTACCTAAGCTCACGTTCTCATATTGGTTAAATAGTTTCACGCATCTGATCAAAATCAATTTGTGCTCAACACAAAACAATCTGATTTCTATTATTATTTATTATTTTGCTCAGTAAAATTTCGTTCTATTTACTTTATTTCTCATTGGGGTTGTTTTTTTCTGCTGATCACAAATTATATCCTATTTAAGTCTCAAAAGCTGAATAATTAGTAGTCTTTTTGCAGGACAGCATACCATGGAGAGCTTTACATTTGCAAGGTTTCTTTACGTGGCATTCCCAGAGCAGGGTTCACCATTGTATATAGCCTTTTGTTTTTCTGCAAAAACAATTGTCACAGCAAGGAGAAACAGAAAGGCCCACCTGGAATATCTCAATTTGACGCATTTCTGCAAACAGGCATCGAATGTACATCATTTTAGGTACTCTTTCATAACCTGTGAACTTAAGTTGTAAGATAAAAGTGGCACTACATGATTATACTTATTGCTTATTTTGAACTGAAGAAGCCTACTTTTGACATAGGTTACATGGCAGAAAACTCACATTCGTACTTCCGTCCCAATTGGCATGCCGCCTCATCTTCTTTATACTGTTACCAGCTTGAAGCTTTTGTAGATATGTTAGGCTCTTGTAGTTCCGAGTGCTTGACAAATTGAAAGTTCCAATTAGATCTTTTAGCAGAAGTTGTGGAGGTACACTTTCCTACACTTTTTTCCTTTCATTCTTTTACCTTATCACCATCATAACTTTTTAATGACATAGAGGTTGGGGTGGGGAAGGGGAAACAACAAGAGAGAATTTAAAATATCAGAGAATCAAATTGCAGATTAATTTCTGTAGAGTTAATGTATTTCATTGTACCTAATTTTATTTTATTTTTCCAACAATTGGATTTAAAAAGTTAGGTACTATGCTTTGGACGTTTGTAAGATAGTTATTCTATTTGTCAGTATTTTCTAAATATAAAAATCAGTAGTAACAAAAACAATTTCGTACCAGCGGTTATCGTATTACAGACTAAACATCAGTAGTACAGACTGTCATGTACATACATACCAAAATGTTTTGTTAGACTGAAAAGATTGGCATAGGAAATTTATTCACGTGGCATAAGGAACCGAGTCATGAATGGAAATTGTGATCCAAAGCATATTGGTTACTTTTATAAGACTCTTTAGATTAATAGTAGTTGGCATATCAGCTGAGGCCTTTATGACTCTATTCTTAAATTGATTATTCTCTTATTGTTTTTATACTGTTAAAAGGAGTTAGCCGCACAGAATGAAAAACTACAAATGCCATCTTCTTTCATACCATTTTTCAAAAGTCCACTCATCCCATTCTTCTTCAACAACGCAGGAAGTTATACTAGTCGCATGGTTCAATGGAGGTGACTTTCCTTTGCCCTATCTCCCCGTGCTTGTGTAGATAAATTATTTCCTTTGCCACAAATCATTCCTTCAGCTGCAAAGTTCTATTTGATGAGACTTGAAATGTTGGATGTGTACTTGCAGACTCGAGAAACTTTCTCATGTTTGGAGGTCAAAGCAACTCATGTAGGCAACCATGCATGATTTCAGAGTCGAAGCTGATGCTGTAATCATAAATTTCACCTTAGCTGCTTCACTGTAAATGCCTTTCTGTGCTCGCTTCTTCTGTAAGGGGCTATCAGATTAGTTTGTCAGCAAGATTTAATATGGTTCACTTTTTTGTTGCTTTCCTATTACCATAACCAAATTGGTTTTGTAGGATCAAACGAAGCAGTTTCATACATTGCATGCATTGTTTCATCAGCATTTCAGACGGAAAATGAGCCTTGAATTGTCTTCTAAGCCAATGGATTTTTCTAGAATCTGAAGTGCAATGGAAAATTACTGAATTGATCTACACAAAGAGTAAACATTTTTTCTGTTGGATGCTGGAAGTGCCTCCTATAAGTGGCTAAGTTGCGATATGTGGTGCCATCAAATACTCTGCAAAGGGGTAAGTCCTCTAGTAACTTACGCTTTATTTGCTGGGTATGTTATCTCGGTGCTTGTAATCTTACATATGGAGTCGTCACTGACAGGTCCGTCACATTACATCAGTCATATATGGGATATGAATCATACACTTTGTGCTTTTGAACTCTCAAATGAAGAGAGATTTTTTGTTTGTGGATTAATATTGTCGTATCCCTCGTTATTTATTGTATTTGAACACCCAATTGAGATGGATTGTTTTGTCTGTGTTATTTATTGTCATGTCCTTTCTCCTTTGCTTCATTTCTGGTGGTTGCTTACTTAAATCTGTCCTTCAGCAGTTCAAGTTGACACCGGAGTTGAACAAGGATTAGGTCAGCTGTATATTTCGCGGTAAACACCTCTTTCTATACATATTTGTAACTGTCTACATAGATTAATTTATCAGCATGATTTTATGGTGCATTTAGAACCTAAACATAAAAAATAAATTCCTATTGTCAATAATTTGTTGTTTCGAATTTGGACTTCTAGGAACAGATCAAGCATAGTCATACATGGCATGGGTCACTTTCATCATCATTTCAGACGTAAAATCAGCCTTCAACTGTCTACTGAGTCAATAGACCTTTCTAGGTATCTCAAGTGCAATGGAAAATTCATGACTGACTTAAAGATTCACAAAGAACTCTTCGAAATGTGGACTGCAGAGAGGTAAGAAAGTCACCGTCAAGTAAATTTATACTTTCAATTTATACGCTTCTTATATATAATTATAAGTTTATCTACACCCCAAGGCTAACCAGTTGATGAATTAATATGGTGCTAACTACTCGTTTAGAGTCTAAACCCAGTCAACACCCTGGTCCGATGATCCAAAATTGGAAACTAGGTAGTCATCTAACGTTGATCAAATGAAGAAGAACACAGTATATTTTCGATAAATAATGAAAAAAAATACACATCTACCCTTTCACAGTTCCACATTAACTCTTAAAAATGGCTGCATCTTAGAACAATGACACTGAATCTGTATAGCTCATCTTCAATCTAAAGATTAAAAGTAACACGAGTGTTCTTTCGTCCTCTGTTTATTTGATTATCTTTTGACTTTTGGAGGTGTTTTCAAATTTGAGAATCCAGTAAACGCAGTGTGCATATATTGAAAGTATTCCACATGATTTTCAACGATAATATTTTCTTTTCAGATTTGCTGATGATTGCAACACTTGCAGAGATATAGGGTGAAGGAATCAGAGCTGACCGTGAGGGCAGCTGATGCGCAATGTTATTGCAACTGGCAACATGGTCCGAAGTGACAATTTCATTCAGAAGCAAGGCTCTAGTAAGGAAATTGGTCGAGGTTGGGGCAGGGATGATTGACGGTGAAATGGGTGTTAATTTTTCTCACAGCCCATTCTCAAAGTTTTTATTTGCAAATGTTATTGGAGTATTTTTATTGAAAGGAGATGACATGTTCCCTAGAATAGCCAATCTAAGTTCCTCCAAGTTTTTTATTTTTATTTTTTAAATTTAAGCAATCTGTGGTCTTAGATTGATCTGGTGGTGCAAATCAGTCCTAGTTTCTTTTCCAAAATGTCATCAATCGGAACCTTGTAATTGAGAGCAATATGCTAAATGTTGTTGGATTGGATCTATCCTCTTCATTGTAAACCTAATGTCTACGAGGCCTTCAAGGTGTTTATGCCTAACGTTGAGAATTTGTAATATGAGTTATTTACACAAACACCCCCCTAAGGTTTTCGGTGTTTTCACAAAACCCCCTAAGGTTTTAAAAATTACATGAATACAGGTTTTAAATTATTTTCACAAAACCCCTTTTCGTTCAAAGATTAATGGTTTTATATGAAAATTTTCTCCAAATAACAAAGTTAGCCTTTGAGATTAGCTTGCACATACACTCATTGAGGTTAATTTTGTCATTTGCATAAGTTTTTTTAATATGAAATCATCAATTTTTGGATGAAAAATCAATGAAAAGGGTTTTTGTGAAAATAATTTAAAACATTAGGGGGTGTTCATGTAATATTTGAAACGTAAGGGGTTTTGTGAAAACACCGAAAACCTCAGGGGGTGTGAGTGTAAATAACTTTGTTATATTCTAAGATTGAAGGTTTTTGGATTTGTATTTACTTTAACCATGTGAATGACATATGATGTTGTTAGGGGTATATTGGACTTTTAGTGAGGGGAGAGAAGGCGCCAAGGATTCGTCCTCAATCAAGAAAACATGTTTGCCACCACACCGCATTGTGAACCCACCTGAGATCTCTACCTTTCAGTGTTCTCCCCACGCCTTCAAAACATGCGAGCATTGGCGAGTGGGCTAAACTCCTAGCCATAATGGTGGCAACATCCCACCTTCTCCTTCATTGTCATTGTGGAAGTGATTTTCGTCCCACAAGAATATTCGTCTAAGATTCCGTCTTCCTCTTCGCTTCTCTTTCTCCCTACAAAACAATACAGAGTAAAGGACCATACCCGGGGGGTGTTGGCCTAAGGCCCTCTAATGCCTAAGTTAGTTCAAGTGTTTGTAGGAAAACAATAGCTAACAAAAAGATGGAGATTTCTCTAGGGTGAGAACCGAGTGGCCAGAACTGTGTGTGTGAGAGAGAAAGAGTTATGGCGGTTAGGGTTTGTGAGATAGAATTTCTGCAGAGTTTCAAACTGAAGTTTAGACGTACATCAACCCTTAGTGTAGCCATGTATTTATAGGAGCCTCGAAGGCTAGGGTTTTGGAAGAATAATTCCACAGATGGAAATGAATTATTCTTCCCCAATTTGGAGAGATTGACGCAATTAGGGTAAGAATCAAATAATTCCCAAATTGATTGGCTTAATTATTTGACTTAGGATCCGTAGATATTTTGCTTCCACAGTCATCATGGTCATCGTCCACTGCGTCTAATTCGCGGTGATTCCTCATCACATTGGCCAACACCGTGGCATTCCTCGGCATCAACTGGTGGTACTTCATAGAGGACAAAGGTAGGTGGTTTAGGGTTTAGGGTTGAGGAACTAGAAATGACGTTTTTAGCCCTCATTTAGACGACCAAATTGACGAATTATAACGGTAGGACCTAGTTGGATTGGAACTACCTGTTGAGTTCACTGATGTAACTGCCTAAAAAAAAATTCAGAACTCAATTAAAACTTGAGGTAAAGTTCACTCTATTTTAGCCTTGTGACTAAAATTTACATTTTTTTTAAAAGGAGTTGGGTGTAAATATTAAACTGGGTTAACTTAGGAGAAAGTTGGGTATGCGTATCAAAACGAAAGCCGAAATTAACCAGAAATCAGCCGCTCTGTTTTTGGTCTCCGCGCCGCAGTTCATTCCCAGCTTCTTCTACTTCTACTCTGGAGCTCTTTGCAACAAGAGTAACATTCCAAAATCAACTTACCTCAGGCCTCAGGTTTCAACTAGGGTTTTTCGATTTTCCAATAGAAATTGATTATCATCGACTTCTAAACATGGCATTGCTCTTCAAGTTGAAGAGCCTCAGATTGGGTTATTCAATACTTTCTTCTACATTCGCTTCAAAAACTAAAAGGTTTGTTGTTGGAGATCGAAAACCCTCAAATTTTTCTCTTCAAAATCAGTTACTCTGCCGACACTTCACCTCAGAAATCTCGGCAAACCAACACAATTTCACAGTCACTTACCTCATAAACTCATGTGGGTTGTCTCCAAAAGCTGCAATTTCAGCATCCAAGAAGGTCGAGTTGCAAACCCCAGAAAGAGCAGACTCCGTCTTGGCCCTTGTGAGAAACCATGGACTCTCTGAAGCCCAGCTCTCAAAGTTTGTCAGGTTACACCCAGAAGTTCTTTTAGCCGATCCTGAGCAAACCCTTTTGCCAAAGCTTCGGTTTTTCATCTCTCTCGGGGTTTCAAAGGAGGACCTTGCGAAAACTCTGGCTTTCTGTCCGCAGATTTTGTCTAGAAGCTTGGAAAAAGAGATTTGACCCGATTATAATTTCCTTAGGAGCTTGATTCCTGAGAAAAAAGTTGTTTCTGTTTTGAAGAACAGCTCGTGGTTTTTCTTCGAAGGCCACTCCAAAAATGTGGTGCCAAATATTGGTCTTTTGAGACAACTAGGTATGCCCCAATCATGCATTTATCTGTTGCTGGCTCATTATATTAATGTTCTGATGGTAAAGCATGAAAGGTTTGGTGTAGTTGTGGGTAAGGTCAAGGAAATGGGATTTAATCTGGAAAAAGCTACTTCCGTGTCTGCTCTACGTGTATTGTGTGGTAGGCACAAGTCAGTATGGAATCGAAGTTGGGAGCTTTATAGGAGTTGGGGTTGGTCTGATGACGATATTCTTTCTGCTTTCAGGCGGTATCCGCAGTGTATGATTCACTCGGAGAAGAAGGTAATGGAAGTAATGGATCTTTTAGTGAACAACATGGGATGGCCGTCAAGAAAGATTGCCCAATATCCTGTGGTCCTAAGTTTGAGTTTAAAGAGGAGACTGATCCCAAGGTGTTCGGTTGTTAAGGTTTTGTTTTTGAAAGGAGTTATGGATGAAAACTTGCATTTGGGTTCTGTGTTGCTGCCTGTGGAGAAGCACTTCCTGGAGAAGTTTGTAACTGCATATCTCAAGGAAATACCTCAATTGTTGAATGTGTATCAAGGGAAAGTTGAATTCCAGGATTTATGATGTTATAACAGTTTTTAACACCTTGATGCTGCAGTGTTTTGCTTGGAAAATTGTTTTTGGTACAATACACGTGTCTTGCCTCTGTTGGGGTCCAATTTAAACTTCTCTGCAGGTGAGTGAAAAGGAAAATTTTTTGTCTATTCAAGTTAGAAGTCAATGCAAAAATCTGAGAAATATTTATTCATTTAACAGTACCAAGAAGCTGTAAACTTTTTACTGGAACTGGCAGGAAAATTAAATTTTAAAACATTCTGTTCACTGTGCTCATTCTATGCATGCTGTGAATTTTCAATAGTTAGAGTCTTACAACGGTTGATAAATAAACAACTATGTAAAGGTTATGGAGATTGTGATGCTTTGCAGCTTTGTATTGAAGCTGTATAGTTATTTTATCTACAGCATTACACATTATTGGAGTAATCTGAGAATTAAAATGGAATGGCATTTGGTAGGCATTCATGCTGTGAACATCTCGTTTTAATTGTTTTTATATCTGCATTGCCTTCTGGAGAAAATGTGACACTGAGGATTGAGGTATATCACTGTACAAGCATTATCAAGCTAACCACCTGAAAATGGGAACTAGAAATGTATGTTTTCTGGTATTGCTGCTTTGACTCAGTGGGGCATTGAGGGTACAATCCATGTTTGATCTGTTAGTCTGATTCCTCAATCTGTTAGTCTAACTTACTACAGTACACCTTTTGCTGCAGACAAGCTACTTTATAAATGGTTGAGAAAATATGACAGCAAATATGGAAAGGTGAGAGGTTAATGATGCACGTTACAGAATTCATCTTTCAGTTTTCTGATACTATGGTTTCCAAACAGTTCTGTTTTCTCATAGAAAATTCTCCTAATTTGTTATCGAAATGCTGGTGCATAATCTCTGCATATAAATATTTATTGATCAGTCTACATTTTGTCATTCAGATTGTGGATTCTCTGCACCTCAATTTAATTTGCAAATTACTGTTCTCATCAGGAAATGTTACATGCATTGTGAGCCTCTTCATCATGGAAACGCATTTGGAGAATTTGCTCTAGGGGTTGAATTGCCTTTCATAATCTGGAAAATGTTAATAAGCTGAAATTATAAGGTGGAGAAGAAGAAGGTGAAATCCATAAATAGGCATAAAACGAGTGGAGTGGGTTCCTATCAAATAGGTCGATTCTCTCCCTTTTTCTCTGTTTACTTCCTTTTCTCTTCTTTCTTGCATTTCAATTCTCTACTGTTTGCTTCATTTAAATAAACTCTAGTAGGTCATTTAAACATGATCCAAGTCAGAATCGAACAGGTCATCTAAACGTAATCCAGGTCTCAAATAGAACAATTTTACTGTCAAATATTGTTTTCTGGTGGCAAAAATATCATTTTTTTTTGTTCTTTTATGGATTAGGGGAACGTGGATCCCTTTGGTTCAAAGAAAATGGATTTGTGGGAAATCAATTCCAATGTCTTTTATGAGGGGATGGAATGGAAACTAGAAGTTTTTTTTCCATCTTTTATACTGCTAAATTAACTTGAAAATATCATTTTAGTTTATTTTCCTATGTTTGATTTATGCAGAAATTAAAAACAAAAGTACGCTTAATTTTTCAATTCTACCATTACATTAGAAGCATGCAAGGAAAATGTAATGAAGTAGACATGGGCTTAGTGAAGTTTGCTAGGAAGGATGTGATGCTCACTATGCACCTGAATTCGAATCTCCCTCCTTGTAATTTAGATTAATTTAGAGTAGAATATCGTTTGTATAAAAAATAAAAATAAAAGTATTAATGTTTATTTGGATAGAATTGGTATCTCAATTGTTAACAAGACAAATTGGTCATAGAAAAATGTAACTTTATGCTTGCAATGACTTTTCATGGGAATGGCAAATGAAACCCAATTTGGAAACAGTTTTCATTGCCCTTAGTCCAAAATAAAAATAAAAATAAATGCACAATCCTCTTTTATGAGTGTTTTTTCATTTCTGTTTCTTCTAATCTTGGTTTAAAGACATATAGTTAATGTTTATTTCTTACAAATGAATGAAGTTATGAATCGAGAAATTTAGATTGGGTAATTAAGCCATTGGAATTAGATCAACTACTCCTCCGAGTTGATTCCTTTCCTAATTTTAGTGTATAGGGTTTTAAGGGTTAGGAAAATCTATGAATAGAAATATTTAGATGGTATAATCGAGGAATTGGAATCAGATCAAACTATTACTCCTAGTTAATCCCATTTCTAAATTTGAGCGTATTTGATTACTGACATGCTTACTTATCAGGAATGAGAGAAGACAAGAATCAGGGAATCATAGTTAAAGTAGAGATAATGAGAGCCAAGGGGGTCTAACTCTACATCATAGTTATGTGTTTTCCTGATTAATAAATACGTCAGCGCATTGGTCTCATTCGACTTTTTGTATTTTTTTGAACATTTCTTATTGAGAGAGATGATAATATACTAAACTCACACATACTATACGGATGTTAGGACTTGAACCTAGAACCTTGTCTGGTGGAGCATTTACTCCAAACCACTACATTAGTGGATCACATTCAACTTTTTAACACCTTGCATCCTTGTTTAATTAAGAATGCTGTTATTTCCACCCCTGTCCTATTTCCTCATCCACTTTATTTTCCCACTTACCATGAATTTAAAAAAAAAAAAATACAATTTTAACTTTCCACCCACCGTTATTCCTAAAATGCCATTTAATTATTGATTCAAGCAAATTCATGGCATCACTGCATATACAAATTTATTTATCTAGTATGGTTGCATAACTTATATATCTTGTGTTGTTTGATGCATGACACTTTGATTAACTGTGATAGCTGACCTTGAGCGGTTTGACAGTACTCTATTGGGCATTAGAATGCTTATACCTTAATAGATTGTGCAATTCAAGGCGAAGTTTGAGGAAGCAGGTTTCAACTAGGCTACTAGGCTTTTGTTGTTGATTTGTCTTTGTAAGTAGTTGAGGCCCAAAAAATCCACGGTTGGGCCTGAATATATTCTTGGCCCAAAACGATATATTATTGAGAAAAGACCAGATTTGGAGCACACGAATGCCCGCCATGCACGAGTCACACTTCACATGTCATGCCAAATAAATAATCTGTCATGCTAGGAATCGAGATTAAGATTATAAAATGCATTAGCTCTACAAATCCATGCTAATTATCCCATCAAGCATCACAATTAAAAACGTGCCAAACGACATGCCATGCCAAGCATGAAATCATTATTTCACACCCAACCACGCTACAAGCCTAAGCGAGCTCAAGCCGCTCAAATACCCGGGGCTTGCTTGAGTGGGTTGTGGTATGGATTGTAATAAATCAACATGAAGGCCATTGATGGGCCGAGAAATGGAAGTCTCGGGTCGCTTGGGAGCCTCGGGACTCAAGCCCATTTCTTAGGCCCAAACACATAGGTGAGCACAAAAGGGAAAATAACCCAACCAAAAATAAGCCCAATCAAAATAGCCTATTGACTTAACCAAAAAGCCTAAACATTTTAAATAGCCCACTTACTTAAGGAACCACCTTGGCCCATACAAAACTCCAAAATAAGCCACAAAAGCCTCAGCCCCTTGCTAGAAAAATAGAAGCCACGAAGGGGGAGGTTTAAAGATTTATTGAACAAAGCTGCTAGAGGTTCCAGCACATGGGGGGAGCAAGTTCCAAGCAAGAAATATTCAAGGAACCAAAGAATATTAGCCTGTGAGCTGCCAGAAGCACTCTTTGAACTAACATGTATATCCACTTCCTTTCCTTCATCAGATCTGGCCAAGAAAGGAGGAAGGAAATAAGAAGAAAAATAGCTAAGAATGGAGCCTCCCACTGGAACAGCCGCGGGAAAGGGGCCTTGAGCTCCCAAAGTTCCTGATTTTGTGCTAATAGACAGAGGAAATTTCACCAAGATAAGAAAAGCCAAGGGAGGAGAAGAGAAAGGAAGGGAAAAACTTAGCCAAAATGGGTAGAAACCATTAAGGTTTCTTGGGAATGGATGATTTCCAGCAGTTATAAAATTAGGCATCTCCTACCCAACGAAACCAACTCAAATTCAGAGAGCAAGCTTTCTCTCTAACTTGCAAAAACCCAGCAATCTCGTGCATTGTTCACCCTCTTCTCCATTCTTCTCTTCTGGTAGACAGAGTATCTGTCAATTTGCCGGAAGAACATTGTTCTTCATTTCTCTCTTCCTAGCAAAATCTCCTACAAATCTCTCCTTTCTCACCTTAACACTTCTCTTTTTCCCTCTAAGAAAGCCTAAATTTCCTCTCAGTTCTAAACTCATGTTGATTTTGCTTCCATGCCACATGACTCTCATGCCAAGCTCAAAAGTTTATCTGTAAGCATGCAAAAATTACTTGTAAGTTGTCATTGTTTTGGCTGGTGAAGGTAACCAAAATACTTCATAAGGCTCTGCTGCCCTTTCAAAGCATTTTTGGGGCTTAATTTTCGAACTCAAACAAAGGAGAGAATTTCATCAGTCTGCCCTTTACGGCAACCCAGCCCATTTACAGCTGCCGGAAGAAAAAATCCCCTACAGTAGTCAACCGTTTGATAAAGATCTTAGTGTGTATTTAACTAGGAGATACTACGACTCTGATTTTGTGTTGTTAAGTAAATTTGTATTCATTTGTGGCTCATCTTCTCATCATATCATGGTTGTAAGATTTTATTCTTATGACTATGGTATAACTTACACTCTGATTCAGGAAATATTCCTTATTTTTGAATCAGGTCGTGACATTACCATAATTAATTCCTTTTTAATTCGAGAAATTATCTTTGATTTAAAATAGAACTATCTCCATAAATCAAAGAACCAATCTCCACCAAATCTCTCGGAGTAATTCCTATTATCTTTTTTGGAAGAATAATCATAACCAAATAAGGATTATTCTCCCAAAACCCTAGCAACACAAGGAAGCTATAAATACATAGTCACACAAGACATTCAAGGTAATCCTAAACCTAGTTCTAAAACCCGAGAGAAACACCTCTCTCTCTCTCTCTCTCTCTCTCTCTCTCTCTCCTCACAAGGCTAAGCACCACCACACACGACTCCTGACACCCGGCTATTCCCGTGAGAAAAAACTTCATTCTTTTTAGCTATTGCCAAATCTTTTATCAAAGATTCAATTGAACTAACTTAGGCATTGGAGGACTTTTAATGAACCCCACCCGAGTGTGGTCTTTTACTCATATTTGTTTGGTAGGAACTTAAAAAGAGAGAGAAAAAAGCTCAAAGAATCTATACGTAAATATTCTCCCGTAAGGCCATTTCCAACTCAAGGACCTAAACCCAAAATATTGCCCAAAATCTTTCCCAACCCAAGAAAATGAAGGATCTAAAATTTGGGAAAACCCAAATATGGGTCCAAGTATTGCATGGACCCAATACTATTCAATGGAGCCCACTGCACATCTCAAACATCCCCATGTGCAAAAATTCTGACGTGGGGCCCACCTCCAAATATGCAACTTGCTTTTTGTCTTCTCTTTGCGCCACTTGTCGCTATCCCATAAAGTTGCCATTAGAATCCAACGGTTTCAAATGTTGCTGTTTGTTTGTTTGTTTTTTTTGTATATACATATAACTTAAATCAACGATGTGGATTAAATCTATGCTATTTTAACGGTAAAAAAATAAAATTTCAACAGCTGAAATTTAAATCAAACGGTCAAAATAATACTTTAAATTAATCCAAATCAGATCCAATCCCAAATCTCACTCCAAACTCTATAATTACTCACCCATTTCTTAATTAATCTACTAAAAACATTTTTTTTATTTCTCAATTTATTTTTCCTTTGTAAATTTCATCAATCTCTTCCATTCTCATACTTTTGATATCATTTCAAGACATCATCTTCTTCATTCTCATACTTTTGGAATAAAATTAAATTTATGAAATTTCAATTTTTTTTAGGTCAAATTGTTAAAAAAAAAATTAAATTATGACGTTCAAAGGCAATAGTGAAGAAATGAAAAAAAAAAAAAGTGGGAGACATGCGCATGCTCCTGTCTCCACCATGGCGTGAGTGCCAAGAATGGAAGCGATGCAAAAGATAAGATAAGATATTTCTTCTTTAATGATTTCATTATAAAATATTAAAGTTTATCAAGTGGTGTTTTTGATAATATCCATCACGTGAAGTGATAATTACACCAAACTGTACTGTGGCCAACGAGCGATCGGTCCGCCCTTGGCGCTCCTCAATCTCCTGTAGCCAAACTACTTGCCCCAATCGACTCGGGGACGTTTGAAAAGCACAACGACGAATTGTTTTGACGAGACCAGCATGACCGGCTGGTTTTTGGTTGAGATATAAAAACAAGGAAGGTCACCCCATGTGAAAGGGAGAAGCAACGGCTACAATTACTTCAAGCTTTTCAACTTTATGCATCTTTTGATTGGTTATTATATATTAAAGGTTATATTTTCACCCCATGTCCATCAAAGGGCATGTATAAATTGATACATTTTCCATCAAGATGAGCATAACCATTTTGCTAAACCATACGAAAGCCGAAACAATGCAGGGGAAGCAAGAAGGAATGAAATAGAAGAAGAAGAGGAAATGCGATGCAAGACCTGCATTGGCCTAAAAATGCAGAAATGATGGGTCATTACCATTAAAGGTTATATACGTACCCACACCATTTATTAATTCCTTTAGAGGGAATTATTTCAAGCAACCTTTGCTTTTTTCATTGCATAATGTCAAAGCCAATGTGATTAAAGAGAAGAAAAGTCAAACGAGAGAGACTTTAAAATGATTAATTTACACTAAGAAATGACAAGAATGAGTCAGATTATAATAAAAAATAATAATTTTTTTGGGGATAAAAAAAAAAAGGAAGACACAAGTTAGAGGTGGACCATCATTTTCAACGAGTCGTTTAGCTAGTCGAAAATATATTTCACATAATTTATTTCGGAATAATGCACTAACAATCATAGAACAAAATTATTTATACATGCACAGGTAAATTAAAATAAGGCTAAAAATAAACGACGCTAATAATAGAAAAAAATAAAATTAGGCACAGGTAAATTACAATAACAAAAACCTTTCATATAGCCTCACCTTTTGAAATTTGTTAAGAGCCGTAGATTCACAAAGAGATCAACGGCATTCGAGTCTGGTGCACTTGAATTAATTAATGGTAATGACGACCCATCCCCCATGTGAGGGCAAAGAAAAGTTTAAAAAACTTGTCATCCCAGAGAAAGGCATTTTTAAAAATTATTTTAAATTATCATCATTTGAACACTGACAAGACAGCCAACCAAACGGTACTTGTTAAATACATAATATATAATTACAGTCACAAAAGAAAAGAATTGCTTCATCCAAATCCCTTGCAAAGAAAAGAAGAGAAAAATGGCTGGAGCTTTGATCGGAGAGGCCTTTATTTCTGCTTCCATCCAGGTGATTTGTGACAGAATTGCTTCACCCGACTTCATCGACTTATTTCGGCACAAGAAACTCGATCAACCTCTCATCATGAAACTCAAGAGGACCCTGTTGACCTTGAACGCAGTGCTTGATGATGCAGAGGAAAAGCAAATTGAGAAACCAGCTGTGAGAGAGTGGCTTGATGACCTCAAACATGCAGTCTTTGATGCTGAAGACTTGCTGGATGAGATCGACTATGAAGCTTTGCGATGCAAGCTGGAAGGTGAAGCTCAAACAGCGGACAAATTAACCAACAAGGTTCGGAACCTCCTCTCTGCTTCTCGTAATAAGTTTTATCAAAGCATGAATGTTAAGATACAGGAGTTGTTACGAAAACTAGAAGACTTTGTACAACTGAAAGGTGCTCTTGGTTTGACAGAAGTTGTTGGGAGGAAGGTTTCACAAAGAACTCCAACAACTTCCTTGATTCATGAACCCTATGTATATGGTAGAGATGAAGTCAAAGAAAATTTATCAAAAGTGTTGTTCTCTGATGATGCAAGTGAGGAAAATGTGTCTGTCATCCCCATTGTTGGAATGGGTGGGGTTGGCAAGACAACCCTTGCTCGAATGCTTTACAATGACAATAAGGTGAAAGAGCATTTTACCCTTAAGGCTTGGGCTTGTGTTTCAGAAGATTATGATGCTATCAGGGTAACTAAAACTCTTCTCGAGTCAGTGACTTCAAAACCTTGTAAAAAGACAGATCTGAATTTGCTTCAAGTTGAGCTAAGTGAAGAACTGAGGGGGAAGAAATTTTTGTTTGTATTGGATGACCTTTGGAATGAGAAATATACTGATTGGAACTACCTCCAAACTCCTTTTACTTCAGGGGCAAGGGGAAGTAAAGTCCTTGTAACAACACGGAACAAAAATATAGCATCTTTCATGCAAAATGTTCCTATTCACACCTTGAAACCATTGTCGCATGAAGATTGCTGGTTCTTACTTGCAAAACATGCAAATGTAAACTCTAGTTCTGATCCAAGCTTGGAAGAAATCGGCAAGAAAATTGCACGCAAGTGCAATGGGTTGCCTTTAGCTGCACAAACACTTGGCGGTGTGTTACGTTCAAGGCCAGACTTTGAGGTATGGAACAGAGTACTAAACAGCAGCATTTGGGAGTTACCTTACAAGAAAAGTGACATTCTTCCTGCTCTAGGATTGAGTTATCATTATCTTCCAGCTAAGTTAAAACGATGCTTTATTTATAGTTCAATTTTTCCAAAAGACTATGAATTCAAGGTAGAAGATGTTATTTTTCTTTGGATGGCGGAAGGTTTAATTCCGCAAGCGGAGAACATGGAAGAAGTGGCTAAGGAATATTTTGATGAACTGTTATCCCGATCATTGTTTCAAACGTCAGGGAAATCAAGTTTCGTCATGCATGATCTCATCAATGACTTCGCGGTGTTCATGTCTAAAGGATTTTGCTGCAGGTGGGAAGGGAGGGAATCACATGAAGTAGAAAGAGTTCGCCATTTGTCTTATGCCAGGGAAAAATTAGATGTTGCTGTTAAATTTGAGCCATTAAAAGGGGCTAAGTGTTTGCGTACCTTCCTATCTATCTCTTTAAAACCATATTACAGGCTTGAACGTTATTATGTAAGTAAAAAGGTTCTTCATAATTTGTTGCCATCACAAACATGTTTACGGGTGTTGTCATTGTCCTGTTATGTGAATGTCATTGAGTTACCTGATTCCATTAAAAAGCTCATTCACTTGCGCTATTTGGATCTCTCCAATACTGCAATTGAAACGTTACCCAGTGTACTTTGCAGCCTCTACAATTTGCAGACATTATTATTGTCAGATTGTTCCCGTCTCGTTGAATTACCTGCAGACTTGAGAAAATTGATAAATTTACAGAAATTAATGTTGGGAGGTTGCAAGTCTCTTACTAAATTGCCTGTAGACATGTGGGAATTAATTAATTTGCATCATCTTGACGTGAGTGGAACTAAAATTGCAGAGATGCCAATGCAAATGAGTACATTGAAAAGCTTGAGAACATTGTCCGCTTTTATTGTGGGCAAATCTACTGGGTCGACTATTGGAGAATTGGGGGAGCTTCGACATCTTGGAGGAAAACTTTCAATTTTGCAGCTACGAAATGTAGTAGATGCTAGGGATGCCTTGCAAGCAAATTTGAAGGATAAGAAAGATCTCAAAGAGTTATAGTTGGAATGGGGTGATGAAGATGCGGATGATTCCCAAAAGGAGAAAGATGTACTTGAGAAGCTCCAGCCTTGGGTGAATCTGGAGAAACTAACCATCAGTGGGTATGGTGGAAAAGATTTCCCGAATTGGCTAGGGGACTCGTCCTTGTCCAACATACAAGTCATGTGTATTAGTGAGTGTAGTAATTGTTCGTCGCTGCCACCGGTTGGGCGGCTACCTACCCTCAAAGAGCTCTATATAGGAGGAATGAAACTTGTTAAGACGATTGGTGTTGAGTTTTATGGCAGGACTGGATCTTCTGTAAGTCAGCCATTTAAATCACTGAAGAAGCTGGAGTTTTGGGGGATGGAAGAGTGGGAGGAATGGGTACCAAGTGGAAGTGGAGGTGCAGACTTTCCTTGTCTACAGGAGCTCATACTAAGGGTGTGTCCGAAGCTGAGAGGAAGCTTGCCTTGTGATCTCCCTTGCTTGAAGAAGCTTAGCGTGCGAGGGTGTGGGGTTTTACATGATCAAAGGGCCACTACTGCTACTAGTGTTAAAATGGATTACAAATCTCTTGAAGAATTGAGAATAGGAGGAGGATTATTTGAAACTGAACAAACACTTGGCGGTGTGTTATTTTTACTAGAGATAAAGCTCCTGTCCGAACTTGAGATTGGGGGTTTAAATGGCATACAGTGCTTGCCCAACATCAATCGTCTTCAAAGTTTGAGACTATATAATTGTCCAACCCTGTCGTCCTTCCCTGAAGATGGGCTACCCACTACGTTGACATTACTTGTGATAGACTTTTGTAGGAGATTAGAATTACCTCATGAGATGTTGGCCAAATTAACATCGCTCGGGCATTTGACGATATCCCATAGCTGTGATTCAATGAGGTCCTTCCCGTTGGGCATTTTTCCCAAATTGACGTCGCTTTTCTTTTGGGATTGTAAGAATCTGGAATCCTTTTCCTTGATTGAAGAAGAAGGAGTTGATGAGAATCTCAGTCGACTCAGTATCGCAGACTGTCCAAATCTGGAGTGTTTTCCCCAGGGAGGATTGCCCACTCCCAACCTGACTGACTTGGAATTCATTAGTTGCAAGAAGTTGAAGTCATTACCCGAACGCATTCACACCCTCACAGCCATTCGGGCATTGAGGATGGTTGATCTTCCAAATCTGGAGTCAATTGCAGAAGATGGGGGTTTGCCTCCCAACCTCCGACATTTTAGCATTAAGAATTGTGAGAGACTGAGGGCTCCATCTTCATCAGTGGGAGACTATTGTAATTGGGGTTTGCAATCCCTTGAAAAATTTGAAATTGGTGGCAGGGGAAGTGACGAAATCTTGGAGACGTTGCTCAAGCAACAGCTGCTCCCTACCACTCTTCAACGCCTCGAGATCAGTCAACTTTCAAGTCTGAAATCTTTGGACGCAAAGGGACTTAAACACCTCACTTCTCTTTCTTTTCTGAGCATCTCTTATTGTTCTGCCCTGGAAAAAAGGTATGAGAAGAAGACAGGAAAAGCTTGGGCCGACATATCTCACATTCCATGCATCAAGATAGGCAAAGAAATGATCATATGATATGAGCTCTCTCTCTCTCTCTGACACACATTCCTTGCATCCGATGTTTCACTCTCAACTCTCAAATCAAACTCAGGTATGTACTTCAAATAACTGGCTTAACTGGTTTTCTTCCAATTAAATCCAAATACCAAAATACATATTATTTTTTTGATAAAAAAACCCATATGCATATTGGATTTCCCAAATTCATGTCCCCAAATAAACCGAGATGCATATTTGTTACTATTTTTATGCCCCCAAGTTCATTGTATTATCTTATTTACATATCAGAGATTTTTGTCAATTACATTTGGCACTGCTGTTTACCGGTCTCTTGTTATTTTCCGATTAAAATCATTTTCCAGAAAAAAAAAATTTGTGCTCAACAAAAACTCTCAATCTGATTTCTGTTATTATTTTTCTCAATAAAATCTTGTTCTATTTACTATATTTCTAATTGGGTTGTTAAAGTCTCAAATGCTGAATAATTAGTAATCTTTTGCAGGACAGCATACCTTCTCGTAGAGAGCTTTTCATTTGCAAGGTTTCTTTGCATGCCATTTCCAGATGAGGGGTTTGCCATTGTATATAGCCTTACAATTGTTACAACGAGGAGAAACAGAGAGGCTCGCCTGGAATATCTCAATTTGACGCATTTCTGCATACAGGCATCGAATGTACAACATTTTTAGGTACTTTCTCATAAGCTTAAGTTGAGTCTCATTCGAGCTAGTTTAAATTGTATTTGATGCCTAAAGATAACCTGTGAGCTTAAGTTGTTTGATCAAGTTATCTATATCCTTTTCTCTGTTTTTAGATTTCATTCATGTTGTGATTGGAGTGCTGCTGTTTTTTAAATTCATTCATGTAATGTTAGGATGTTTAATCTCTGGTTTGCACTTTCTCATCTTCTTCATTCTGTTAGGATGTTTAGTCTGATCACAAAAATTGGTTCACAAATGGAAAGTCACGATTAGATCTATTAGCAGAAGATCTGGAGGGGTACGTTCTAATATTTCTTTTCCTTCCATTCTTTTGCCTCCCTCACCATCATAACTTTTTAATGACAGAGAGGTTGGGTGGGGAAGGGGGAGGCAACAAGAGAAATTTGGAATCTCTCACAATTAAACGTGCAGATTAATTGCTAAATAGTCAACGTATTTCTGGTGCCAAATTTATTTTATTCCAACATCTAGGAATTGGATATGTTTTGCTCTTATAGTTCTGAAAACTTTACAATTGGTGGCACGGGAAGTGACAATATCTTGGAGACGTTGCTCGAGCAACAGCTGCTCCCTACCACTCTTCACACTCAGCGCATCAACCAAATTACAAGTCCGAAATCTTTGGAGAGAAAGGGACACCTCACTTCTCTTCAACACCTACGAATGGAAAGCTGTCCTAGTCTCGAATTTCTGCAACTTCAACACCTCACTTCTCTTCAAAGGCTATATATTAGTTGGGGTGACAATCTCCAATTCATGCCAAAAGAGGGTTTGCAGCCATCTCTTTCTTTACTGCAGATCTACAAATGTTCTGGCCTGGAGAAAAGGTATGAGAATAAGATGGGAAAAGATTGGGCTAACATATCTCAAATTCCTTGCATCCAGAGAAATGATCCAAGTTTTTTTTTGTTTTGAAAACCCAGAACGCTACTTTGTCAACTTTGTTGGCTCAGCTTCCAACTGGGGCCCACCGCCATCTCTCTCTCTCTCTCACATCCCTTGTATCCAATGTTTCACTCTCAACTCTCAAATCAAACTCAGGTATGTTCTTCAAATAACTGGCTTAACTGGTTTTCTTTTAATTGAATCCAAAAACCAAAATACATATTCTTTCTCTGTTAAAAAACTGAAATACATATTTGATTGCTCAAATTCAGTGTCCAAATAAACCAAGTTACATATTTGTTACTATTTGTATGTCCCCAAGTTCATTGTATTATCTTATTACATATCAGAGAATAACCAAGTCTTTATGGAAAGGGGTCTGCCAGCAATTTTGCATCCCATGAACTTTTATAGTTGCCAAAAAAATCATAGCATTTATCTTTTATTACTAATTGTACCTAAGCTCGCGTTCTCATATTGGTTAAATAGTTTCACGCATCTGATCAAAATCAATTTGTGCTCAACACAAAACAATCTGATTTCTATTATTATTTATTATTTTGCTCAGTAAAATTTCGTTCTATTTACTTTATTTCTCATTGGGGTTGTTTTGTTCTGCTGATCACAAATTATATCCTATTTAAGTCTCAAAAGCTGAATAAATAGTAGTCTTTTTGCAGGACAGCATACCATGGAGAGCTTAACATTTGCAAGGTTTCTTTACGTGGCATTCCCAGAGCAGGGTTCACCATTGTATATAGCCTTTTGTTTTTCTGCAAAAACAATTGTCACAGCAAGGAGAAACAGAAAGGCCCACCTGGAATATCTCAATTTGACGCATTTCTGCAAACAGGCATCGAATGTACATCATTTTAGGTACTCTTTCATAACCTGTGAACTTAAGTTGTAAGATAAAAGTGGCACTACATGATTATACTTATTGCTTATTTTGAACTGAAGAAGCCTACTTTTGACATAGGTGACATAGCAGAAAACTCACATTCGTACTTCCGTCCCAATTGGCATGCTGCCTCATCTTCTTTATACTGTTACCAGCTTGAAGCTTTTGTAGATATGTTAGGCTCTTGTAGTTCCGAGTGCTTGACAAATTGAAAGTTCCAATTAGATCTTTTAGCAGAAGTTGTGGAGGTACACTTTCCTACACTTTTTTCCTTTCATTCTTTTACCTTATCACCATCATAACTTTTTAATGACATAGAGGTTGGGGTGGGGAAGGGGAAACAACAAGAGAGAATTTAAAATATCAGAGAATCAAACTTGCAGATTAATTTCTGTAGAGTTAATGTATTTCATTGTACCTAATTTTATTTTATTTTTCCAACAATTGGATTTAAAAAGTTAGGTACTATGCTTTGGACGTTTGTAAGATAGTTATTCTATTTGTTAGTATTTTCTAAATATAAAAATCAGTAGTAACAAAAACAATTTCGTACCAGCGGTTATCGTATTACAGACTAAACATCAGTAGTACAGACTGTCATGTACATACATACCAAAATGTTTTGTTAGACTGAAAAGATTGGCATAGGAAATTTATTCACGTGGCATAAGGAACCGAGTCATGAATGGAAATTGTGATCCAAAGCATATTGGTTACTTTTATAAGACTCTTTAGATTAATAGTAGTTGGCATATCAGCTGAGGCCTTTATGACTCTATTCTTAAATTGATTATTCTCTTATTGTTTTTATACTGTTAAAAGGAGTTAGCCGCACAGAATGAAAAACTACAAATGCCATCTTCTTTCATACCATTTTTCAAAAGTCCATTCATCCCATTCTTCTTCAACAATGCAGGAAGTTATACTAGTCGCATGGTTCAATGGAGGTGACTTTCCTTTGCCCTATCTCCTGTGCTTGTGTAGATAAATTCTTTCCTTTGCCACAATTCATTCCTTCAGCTGCAAAGTTCTATTTGATGAGACTTGAAATGTTGGATGTGTACTTGCAGACTCGAGAAACTTTCTCATGTTTGGAGGTCAAAGCAACTCATGTAGGCAACCATGCATGATTTCAGAGTCGAAGCTGATGCTGTAATCATAAATTTCACCTTAGCTGCTTCACTGTAAATGCCTTTCTGTGCTCGCTTCTTCTGTAAGGGGCTATCAGATTAGTTTGTCAGCAAGATTTAATATGGTTCACTTTTTTGTTGCTTTCCTATTACCATAACCAAATTGGTTTTGTAGGATCAAACGAAGCAGTTTCATACATTGCATGCATTGTTTCATCAGCATTTCAGACGGAAAATGAGCCTTGAATTGTCTTCTAAGCCAATGGATTTTTCTAGAATCTGAAGTGCAATGGAAAATTACTGAATTGATCTACACAAAGAGTAAACATTTTTTCTGTTGGATGCTGGAAGTGCCTCTTATAAGTGGCTAAGTTGCGATATGTGGTGCCATCAAATACTCTGCAAAGGGGTAAGTCATCTAGTAACTTACGCTTTATTTGATGGGTATGTTATCTCGGTGCTTGTAATCTACATATGGAGTCGTCACTGACAGGTCCGTCACATTACATCAGTCATATATGGGATATGAATCATACACTTTGTGCTTTTGAACTCTCAAATGAAGAGAGATTTTTTGTTTGTGGATTAATATTGTCGTATCCCTCGTTATTTATTGTATTTGAACACCCAATTGAGATGGGTTGTTTTGTCTGTGTTATTTATTGTCATGTCCTTTCTCCTTTGCTTCATTTCTGGTGGTTGCTTACTTAAATCTGTCCTTCAGCAGTTCAAGTTGACACCGGAGTTGAACAAGGATTAGGTCAGCTGTATATTTCGCGGTAAACACCTCTTTCTATACATATTTGTAACTGTCTACATAGATTAATTTATCAGCATGATTTTATGGTGCATTTAGAACCTAAACATAAAAAATAAATTCCTATTGTCAATAATTTGTTGATTCGAATTTGGACTTCTAGGAACAGATCAAGCATAGTCATACATGGCATGGGTCACTTTCATCATCATTTCAGACGTAAAATCAGCCTTCAACTGTCTACTGAGTCAATAGACCTTTCTAGGTATCTCAAGTGCAATGGAAAATTCATGACTGACTTAAAGATTCGCAAAGAGTTTTCTCTTTGAAATGTGAACTGCAGAGAGGTAAGAAAGTCACTGTCAAGTAAATTTATACTTTCAATTTATACGCTTCTTATATATAATTATAAGTTTATCTACACCCCAGGGCTAACCTGTTGATGAATTAATATGGTGCTAACTATCGTTTAGAGTCTAAATCCAGTCAACACCCTGGTCCGATGATCCAAAATTGGAAACTATGTAGTCATCTAACGTTGATCAAATGAAGAAGAACACAGTATATTTTCGATAAATAATGAAAAAAAATACACATCTACCCTCTCACAGTTCCACATTAACTCTTAAAAATGGCTGCATCTTAGAACAATGACACTGAATCTGTATAGCTCATCTTCAATCTAAAGATTAAACGCAACATGAGTGTTCTTTCGTCCTCTGTTGTTTATTTGATTATCTTTTGACTTTTGGAGGTGTTTTCAAATTTGAGAATACAGTAAACGCAGTGTACATATATTGAAAATATTCCACATGATTTTCAACAATAATATTTTCTTTTCAGATTTTCTGATGATTCCAACACTTGCAGTGATATAGGGTGAAGGAATCAGAGCTGACCGTGAGGGCAGCTGATGCGCAATGTTATTGCAACTGGCAACATGGTCCGAAGTGGCAATTTCATTCAGAAGCAAAGCTCTAGTAAGGAAATTGGTCGAGGTTGGGGCAGGGATGATTGACGGTGAAATGGGTGTTAATTTTTCTCACAGCCCATTCTCAAAGTTTTTATTTGCAAATGTAAGAGATTGGAGTATTTTTATTGAAAGGAGATGACATGTTCCCTAGACTAGCCAATCTAAGTTCCTCCAAGTTTTTTATTTTTATTTTTTAAATTTAAGCAATCTGTGGTCTTAGATTGATCTGGTGGTGCAAATCAGTCCTAGTTTCTTTTCCAAAATGTCATCAATCGGAACCTTGTAATTGAGAGCAATATGCTAAATGTTGTTGGATTGGATCTATCCTCTTCATTGTAAACCTAATGTCTACGAGGCCTTCAAGGTGTTTATGCCTAACGTTGAGAATTTGTAATATGAGTTATTTACACAAACACCCCCCTAAGGTTTTCGGTGTTTTCACAAAACCCCCTAAGGTTTTAAAAATTACATGAATACAGGTTTTAAATTGTTTTCATAAAACCCCTTTTCGTTCAAAGATTAATGATTTTATATGAAAATTTTCTCCAAATGACAAAGTTAGCCTTTGAGATTAGCTTGCACATACACTCATTGAGGTTAATTTTGTCATTTGCATAAGTTTTTTTAATATGAAATCATCAATTTTTGGATGAAAAATCAATGAAAAGGGTTTTTGTGAAAATAATTTAAAACAATAAGGGGTGTTCGTGTAATATTTGAAACGTAAGGGTTTTTTTGAAAACACCGAAAACCTCAGGGGGTGTTAAGTGTAAATAACTTTGTTATATTCTAAGATCGAAGGTTTTTGGATTTGTATTTACTTTAACCATGTGAATGACATATGATGTTGTTAGGGGTATATTGGACTTTTAGTGAGGGGAGAGAAGGCGCCAAGGATTCGTCCTCAATCAAGAAAACATGTTTGCCACCACACCGCATTGCGAACCCACCTGAGATCTCTACCTTTCAGTGTTCTCCCCACGCCTTCAAAACACGCGAGCATTGGCGAGTGGGCTAAACTCCTAGCCATAATGGTGGCAACATCCCACCTTCTCCTTCATTGTCATTGTGGAAGTGATTTTCGTCCCACAAGAATATTCGTCTAAGATTCCGTCTTCCTCTTCACTTCTCTTTCTCCCTACAAAACAATACAGAGTAAAAGACCATATCCGAGGGGTGTTGGCCAAAAGCCCTCTGATGCCTAAGTTAGTTCAAGTGTTTGTAGGAAAACAATAGCTAACAAAAGGATGGAGATTTCTCTAGGGTGAGAATCGAGTGGCCGGAACCGTGTGTGTGAGAGAGAAAGAGTTATGGCGGGTAGGGTTTGTGAGATAGAATTTCTGCAGAGTTTCAAACTGAAGTTTAGACGTACATCAACCCTTAGTGTAGCCATGTATTTATAGGAGCCTCGGAGGCTAGGGTTTTGGAAGAATAATTCCATAGATAGAAATGAATTATTCTTCCCCAATTTGGAGAGATTGACGCAATTAGGGTAAGAATCAAATAATTCCCAAATTGATTGGCTTAATTATTTGACCTAGGATCCGTAGATATTTTGCTTCCACAGTCATCATGGTCATCGTCCACTGCGTCTAATTCGCGGTGATTCCTCATCGCATTGGCCAACACCGTGATATTCCTCGGCATCAACTGGTGGTACTTCGTAGAGGACAAAGGTAGGTGGTTTAGGGCTTAGGGTTGAGGAACTAGAAATGACGTTTTTAGCCCTCATTTAGACGACCAAATTGACGAATTATAACGGTAGGACCTAATTGAATTGGAACTACCTGTTGAGTTCACTGATGTAACTGCCTAAAAAAAAATTCAGAACTCAATTAAAACTTGAGGTAAAGTTCACTCTATTTTAGCCTTGTGACTAAAATTTACATTTTTTAAAAAAGGAGTTGGGTGTAAATATTAAGCTGGGTTAACTTAGGAGAAAGTTGGGTATGCGTATCAAAACGAAATCTATTTCTACTCTGGAGCTCTTTGCAACAAGAGTAACATTCCAAAATCAACTTACCTCAGGCCTCGGGTTTCAACTAGGGTTTTTCGATTTTCCAATAGAAATTGATTATCATCGACTTCTAAACATGGCATTGCTCTTCAAGTTGAAGAGCCTCAGATTGGGTTATTCAATACTTTCTTCTACATTTGCTTCAAAAACTAAAAGGTTTGTTGTTGGAGATCGAAAACCCTCAAATTTTTCTCTTCAAAATCAGTTACTCTGCCGACACTTCACCTCAGAAATGTCGGCAAACCAACACAATTTCACAGTCACTTACCTCATAAACTCATGTGGGTTGTCTCCAAAAGCTGCAATTTCAGCATCCAAGAAGGTCGAGTTGCAAACCCCAGAAAGAGCAGACTCCGTCTTGGCCCTTGTGAGAAACCATGGACTCTCTGAAGCCCAGCTCTCAAAGTTTGTCAGGTTACACCCAGAAGTTCTTTTAGCCGATCCTGAGCAAACCCTTTTGCCAAAGCTTCGGTTTTTCATCTCTCTCGGGGTTTCAAAGGAGGACCTTGCGAAAACTCTGGCTTTCTGTCCGCAGATTTTGTCAAGAAGCTTGGAAAAAGAGATTTGACCCGATTATAATTTCCTTAGGAGCTTGATTCCTGAGAAAAAAGTTGTTTCTGTTTTGAAGAACAGCTCGTGGTTTTTCTTCGAAGGCCACTCCAAAAATGTGGTGCCAAATATTGATCTTTTGAGACAACTAGGTATGCCCCAATCATGCATTTATCTGTTGCTGGCTCATTATATTAATGTTCTGATGGTAAAGCATGAAAGGTTTGGTGTAGTTGTGGGTAAGGTCAAGGAAATGGGATTTAATCTGGAAAAAGCCACTTCCGTGTCTGCTCTACGTGTATTGTGTGGTAGGCACAAGTCAGTATGGAACCGAAGTTGGGAACTTTATAGGAGTTGGGGTTGGTCTGATGACGATATTCTCTCTGCTTTCAGGCGGTATCCGCAGTGTATGATTCACTCGGAGAAGAAGGTAATGGAAGTAATGGATCTTTTAGTGAACAACATGGGATGGCCGTCAAGAAAGATTGCCCAATATCCTGTGGTCCTGAGTTTGAGTTTAAAGAGGAGACTGATCCCAAGGTGTTCGGTTGTTAAGGTTTTGTTTTTGAAAGGAGTTATAGATGAAAACTTGCGTTTGGGTTCTGTGTTGCTGCCTGTGGAGAAGCACTTCCTGGAAAAGTTTGTAACTACATATCTCAAGGAAATACCTCAATTGTTGAATGTGTATCAAGGGAAAGTTGAATTCCAGGATGTATGATGTTATAACAGTTTTGACACCTTGATGCGGCAGTGTTTTGCTTGGAAAATTGCTTTTGATACAATACACATGTCTTGCTTCTGTTGGGGTCCAATTTAAACTCCTCTGCAGGTGAGTGAAAAGGACAAAATCTTTTCAAGTTAGAAGTCAATGCAAAAATCTGAGAAATATTTATTCATTTAACAGTTCAGTGACTTCAAAGCCGGCAACCAAAATGTACACATAATGACTAGCTTACTGGGGGGGGGAGGGAGGGGGGGCGGCAACTGGATTTCCCAGCACAACAGCACCATCAGTTTCAACACCTTTCCTTAAATATGAATGAATACACGTGCTTAATTTAACCGAATGCATGTATATTCATAGTTCCTTTGAAGTAATGCGTGCTTAATTTAATCGTTTTAAAATTAAGGATCACATTGGTGATTACTATTGGCAATTGGACAAGTGGTGAAAACGACAGAAACTGTTGATGCAAATGATTATGTTAATTGATATTATTTTTCCTATTTGAATCTCACCTTTAATTTCACTTATCTGTATACCTCTTTACTTATTTAAAGAGGAGTTCTTCTAGTTCTGATTGAAACTTAACTTAGCATGCATGCCATTGAGTGCTGCAGCTGCGGGTCATAAGAAAATAAATAAGTAAATTGATCCCCTTCATGCTTCTCTCTTGAGATCTGAAAATCTCCAGAGGCTTCATAACGGATTCATTCATCCCCACCGATAACAATTGCCAGCTGACTCGTCATTGTTCCAATAAGCTGGATCTTTTGTCCCCAGAGGAAGTCTAAACTTTTTACTGGAACTGGCAGGAAAATGAAATTTTAGAACATTCTGTTCACTCTGCTCATTCTATGCATGCTGTGAATTTTCAATAGTTACAGTCTTACAACGGTTGATAAATAAACAACTATGCAAATTCAGTATTTAGGTTAAGGAGATTGTGATGCTTTGCAGCTTTGAATTGAAGCTGTGAATGAAATGGAATGGCATTTGGTAGGCATTCATGCTGTGAATGAAACTCTCTTTTTAATTGTTATTATATCTGCATTGCCTTCTTGAGAAAATGTTGTTGACGCAGAAAAATGGTTCGGCACTTTCCCGCGCAACTTAGTGATTATGTCTCTTCGGTATCTAATGTCCTCGGCAATGTGTCCAATCTGTAAGATAGCAAACACACGGTAAGTCCTAGGGCACCGATGTGGTACCAGCCGAAGGCTCTCCGATGCTTAAGTGGATTTAGTAAAGTTGAACTACAGATCAATAGGCAGTATGCCGTGAGTTCTGATTGATTACCTTCAAGCTGGGATGGTGGTCCTCTTTTATAGGCCTTGGGAGGTGTGCAATTTGTTTAGAATTTCGATGTGGGACTCTGGACATCAGTTGTGGGACTGCCATGTGTCAAAGGGGGCGAGGTTGCCCTAATGTTGCGATCGGTGGGTTTGGTACCGAAGGGGGGTGCCGAAGGCACCCATGGCCCTGGTTTAGTCCACGTGTCCGATATTCATTGGCTGTTCATTTTGGTATAAACAGGAGTCCCCCAAGTTCCCTTGCGAGAGTCCTCGGAAGGGGATTTGAAGTTGTCTTCGGAAGGAAATGTGGCCCTACCGTTCGGTAGTCCAGTTGGGGGAAGGGGCTAAACTTTGGCCCTTCCGGCATTATTTGTTCAGGGGCTGACGTTGGCGAAGTCAGAAGGTCGCGTCGAGCGGACGGGTGAAGGGACATTTGAGCGCTTCGACTTCCGCGCCTCGCATGCCGTCTGTTCCCCATAGGATGAGCGACACGTGTCGAAAGTAATGATGGCGCGCGGCGCATTAATGCGCCGTTTGGTTTTTCGAGGAGTACCGTTGCAAACCACTTCCCTATAAATAGGGATGACCTCGGAGGCGAAATCACTTTGCATCCAGTGAGAAGCGAGAGCTCTGTTTGAGGCGATTTTCGACGAGGGTTTTCGGTATCCAGGAGATTTCCGACAAGTGTTAACGGTAACCAGGCGATTTCCAGCGTTTCAAACTGTAGGAAGGGCGATTCCCGGTATTGCAAACGGTAGGGAAGCAGTCTGAAGAGCAGATCACGTTTACTTTCCAGAGTGCATACTAAGGTACTGTTCGGCACTTTCCTCTTTACTCTCTTGCATGCTTTAAGGATTATGTCCTTCCTTGGTTCGAACTAGACTGACCATAGGGTTCCATTCGGTAGTCTAGTCGCCATAGGTAGTGATGTAGGGATCGGTATGATAGTATCCGGTATGAGCCTTAGTTTCCTTTTTCCCTATTTTTGTAGATGTCTGATAGCGAGTCATTCTACGAGCGCGAGCCCAATGCGTTCGATGAGGAGTCATCGGACGGTCTCTTTGACTCTGACTACGAAGCGGCAGGGCCTGATGCCGAGGGTGGGAGTGATGCCGACGTTGAGATACTCGGTGAAGGGCCCAGCTCCATTCCAACACACGGAGTCGGGAAGGGGCTAATGACCGCTCCCATCCCATTGTCAATTGTCTATAGTGACGGCCGCCACGTGGGCTTCGGTATGCTTGGGGAGGCGAGCGGTAATCGCCAGTCAGAGACCTCCACTTCCGGCCATGGAGAGTCAGCAGCTGAACCATCCTCTGGGCCGAGGGTATCGGTTGTAATAACCCAAACCCAAAATTAATATTTAATTATTAATTTATTTGAGAAAAATACTAAAATACCCTTAGAATATTTTATTAGTTTAAAGTTGACTTTTTGACCGGGAAAGAATTTGGGGATTTCAGTTATACCGTTACGTAGAGCGCAGCAAGATGAGTCCGTAGACATGTAGTGGACTCAAAACGGAGTTGTAACGAAGGAGTTACGAGCAAAAGAAGTTCAGTAGCATAACCGTAAATATCTCGAACTTCAATTTTTATAAACCCAGAATCTTCTGGATTCGGGAGGGGAACGAGCCGACTTTCTGAGCTGATTCCTCTCAGCTCCGACCCCCGATTCAGGCAATACCAGTGCCAAATGAACCACGAAACTTCCCTCCT